GAGAGAGAGAGAGAGAGAGAGAGAGAGAGAGAGAGAGAGAGAGAGAGAGAGAGAGAGAGAGAGAGAGAGAGAGAGAGAGAGAGATGGAGATAGATAGAGAGAGAGAGAGAGAGACCGAAATAGAGAGACAGAGGGAAAGAGAGAAGTAGATAAATGGAAAGGGGGAGAGAAAAAACAAATCGAATTCGTCGCTTAAAAAAGGAAAGTGCATGCACTTCATCGGCGCCAATACAAATTCAGAGATGACAGAATTATCCGTCCGGGCAAACGGCAACAGCCTACGAGAAACCCAAAAATAAAACATAAAAAAAAATCAGACGGCGATGTGACTGGAGAACTCATCCACCCAATCGGACCACCACCCACTTCCCTGGCCAGCACGGCCAATTGGGAACCGCCACGTCCACGACGGCCAGGCGACGGGTACATCGACGACGGCACCGCTCTCACTTTCGCGTCGTGCGGATGATGGAAGCGACGAGGCGCACAACAGAGGCGGCAAAAACTCTAACGCTCGCGGATGGCCTTCGCTATCTCCAGCAGAGCGTGACACATCAGTTTGCTAACTTCGTCAGACGCTGCGTAGTGTTTGTTTTGCACTTCGACCTCCGCTTCCAACGCCTCGCACTGCCTGATTTGGATGGAGCACTGCCGGTTGCTGTTGATCTCCATCGTCGATGCCACCAGAGCCCCGTGCTTCTCCATGCTTTCCGTCAGCGCTTCGAAAGTTTGCTGCCTCGTGCTCTTCCTCTTGCCGAAACCGGCATCAAATTGTCCCACTTCTTCCCGCACCGTTCTACTTCTCTGTCGACGTCCACCTTCTTCAACCTCTGCTCCACATCCAACCACTTCCATTCTCGCGGCTTCATACGAACGAACGCGGTACCCATCCCCTACAGATGCGCGTCCTGGGCACGTTTAGCCCGGATGAGGGCTATCATGTCGTCCACGGAGCAGAAGTGACGACCTCCTTCTGCGTAAGTGTCAGCTTCGGCATCGCTCCCCTTCCCGATCGCTATTTTCCCCCCACGACCATTGCGAGCACACGTCCTCATCTTCCAGCCCCTCCCTCCCATGCTGCTTTGCTTGAACGGCGGTGCGTGGCCTGCGTCCTCCTCCCCACCTTCGCCGTTGTCGTTGTTCCACTCCTTATCGTTCGGGCCCACGCAAGTGCGTCGCCGTCGTCTTCGTGCTCACCGACACGCAGTCGCTGCATCCCCCGAGTTATGGATTCCTCCCGCCGTGGATGAAGCGTTCGTCGCTGTTCTGCCCACACCTCCCTCCCGTCACGTGCATCACCAACATCGACGATGCCACAATCAGTCTCCCCGCATTCGCCTCGACGACGGGCTGCAGTCGAAGTGGCGGACAGGGGAGACGGAGACTGCATCCACAGGGGGCGAGCTGAGGCACCCCTCGACAAAGACGGCGTCCGGTATTGCTGCCTCGGAGGATCCCTGTTGTTCCCCGACGCCTCCTGGACCGCCGCTGAAGACTTGGAAGACCACGCAACAGCCGTCACCTGTAAGCCATTGTCGTCGGGATGGTTATCGACGATCACCATTCGCGAGGCGGCCGACGACGTCCCGCTACACAGCCCGAACGACAGGTTGACGCCGCCGTTGCCTTCGTCGCCACTCAGCCCCTGCTGGAGGAGTTGGGTGTACAACTGGCCATAACCGTCGTCGCGGCTTCCACAGACCTCCGTAGCCGCCCACTCCTGGGTGGACCCGCTTCCCAGCGGCACGGTCCCTGACCGTCTCTGCTCCGCCTCCTCGTCCGACGTGTCCGACAGAGGCTGCAAGTGCGGTGGCAGGTGCGCGTACCCAGACCGCTCCGACGGCCTTGAACTTCTCAACGGGCTTTGGCCAGGCCGCTGGCCACCACCTTCATCCCTTGCAGACCTGCACATCCTCTGCCGCCCTTCCATACTCACGTCCTTCTTCGAAGACCGTCTTCTGCGGCCACGTCGCGGAACGATGCCGAGGATACACACGTGGAAGACAACTAAGAGGAGGAGCAGGAGGACGGCCAGCACCAGCAGCGGCAGCCTCCGAAAGACGTCGGCCATGAAACGCACGTGGACGACGCCAACAAGTAGAAGACAACCGTGGACGTCCAGGAAACAGCGAGGGTAAGTGGTGCAAATTGCCGATCGCAGCTACCGACAAAAGCAGGGTAACGTATTCTGTCGCGGAAGTCTGAAGTATTCGAATCTGCCGCCCATTGGGCGCTTTCCCGCTACTGCCGAAGGGCAGCGATGCAAGGCAGCCCGTTTTCGACGTCACGAAGGACGGCAGGCCGCCAAAGGGGACCGTTGGCGGAGTATTCCATGACGCCGACCGTTGCCAATCGGAGATGTCCGTCCACGGGCCGCCAGGAACAGCAATGGACCAACCGCGTCGGAAATTGTCATCGAGAGAGATGCCGTCGACACCCCGATTCCTCCGGATGCTCGACCTCCAAGGGACCTCGGGAAGTCCCTTGGGGAACGCGTCGAAATGGCTGTAACCCAAGGAATCCCCGAGGAATACCCGAGGAAATGTTTTCACTTTTTTTTTTCGTTTTCTTCCCCGAGGATAAGTGGAACGATGATTTCCTCCGGGATTTTACGCGCCCGAGGAGTGTAGAACGAGCCCCGCTACAGTACTTGTCTTGAACTGAAGGAAGCGAGGCAGTGAGCTGCCTCGCGTGGAATCCACCCTGCCTGGCTGGCAGTGCGCTACAAGGACCTAACAACAAGAAACAAAAAAGGAAAACGACCTTCTCTCGTTTCCTCACGTCCTGGCCAGATACATTCCTCAAAGCACTGGTGACGTCGGGGCCTTCCCCACCTAGGTGGATTCGAAGTTCCGCTATTCTTTACTTCTTTTTTTTCTTCTTTTTCTTTTTTCACTTTTTGGGCCTCCATCCCTGACCCGAGCCCCCCACTTCTTCGGAGTAGGCTACTCTTGAGACTTCGCGTTTGCCTGTGAAGGGTAGAGGTGGTTTAGGGCCTCGCTGCACTACTCATGACTC